AAAATTCCTAAAATAAAAAGAAATATTACTTTTTAATAGTTTGAACAAAAACATAAAAACCCTATAAGAATATTTTCAGATTTTAATTTTAAAAGTCTTATATCATTGGTGTATAAACGATAGAATCTACAAAGCATAAATGCACATATTAATATTATTATTTATTTATATAATAATATTAATATTAATATTATATTGTTTAAAATTTCATATACAATCCAATTAACAATTCTTGTTTTATTACATTAATATTATTGTGATTCACATATCAAGATAAATTAATGTTATATACTTTATTGTGTAAGGTTTTTTCTTACCAAATTTATATTTCCATAATTCAATAGTGCTATTTTTTGTGGTATTTTTTTTTTATTTATTTTTATCTATGTAAAACCCCATTCACTCATTCCCTTGGGAACAAAAAAATTAAATTATAAAAATATTAATAATCTAATTTTATTTTATATTGTATTTTTTTCTAAACTTTAAACTATTTTTTTTTTTTTCAAATAAAAATTAAATATATAATTTTCTTTTTTTTTTTTTTTTTTATTATTTTTATTATTATTAAATAATTTTATAATAATTCTAATAAAATAACAATCTTAATTTATTAAATAATTATAGTTATAGTATTAAAAATAATAGTTATATATAATAAAAAAAATATTTTTCTTATTTATTAAATATATTTATTAATAGTTAAAAATGGATCTTAAAGAATTTGAAAACTGTTGTACCCAATATCGTAATAGTGATCAATACGATTTTATTACAATTTGTATGTCTTTAAAAAGTGCAAAAGATTTTTTAAATGATTTTAAATCTCAAGAGTATTTGGCATCATGTAACAGAAAAAATATTTATCGTGGCTTTGTTGCAATGGAAATAATTTTGGAGTACTGTCAAAACTTCAAAAACCTATATTATGTAAACCAATTTCTTAAAGAATTAGAGCAACCATTTGGTTCAATGAATAAAAAACAAGAAATGATTGAAGGTTTAGAATGTGCAATTAAAATCTTTGATGATGACCTTTCACTTTTCAAAGAGAAATTAAAAAATTATGAAATTAAATCGATGTATCATGCAATGTTAATCCTTATCAATAAAGAAAGATCTGTAATCCCAGAATTGGCTGAAATATTTAGAGCGAATAAAGTTGAAGCATGGTCCATTGGTCGTTCCAATGATATTTTAAAAATCAATTGTTGGGGTCCACTAGAACAATCAGATTTTTATGAACAAACCAATTTGTTATTAAAAAAAAAAGGTTACTCCATTGATAATTTACTATTTAAAATGATTTTTAATTATGAATCATTTAATAATTTTAGAAACTATGATTGTTTTGCTTGAAATATTAAATTTATAAAAAAAAAAAAAAATTTTTATAAAAAAACATCATAAAAAATAATAATGAATAAAATTAAAAATAAAAAATAAAATTAATTTTATTAATTTAATTTTTCTATGTTACAATAAATAAATACTAATGTTTATTTATTATTCATTCCATGTTAAAAAATAAATAATAATTATGTGTGTGTATATTTGCGTGGGGTAATATGTGTGGGGTTTATTTTTAGAAATACCACCTTACACACACCTAACATAAAAAATATTTTTTTTTATTTTAATATTTGAATGCAATAACTAATATTTATTTATTAATTGTTTTTTTAATTTAAATTAATAAAATAGTTAAAGAAATTAATGAAACTAAATAAACTAGAGGTGAAATTAATTTATTGGCATCATTGGATCTATTAGCTCCTCCTTGAAGACCCCTTAAACTATTACGGTTGAACGAGACGGATTTCAATTGGGTTATTTTATCATTAATATGGAGATAGCCATACACGTCAAGTCTACATTTAACATTGGCAGTTTTGCATATAATATGACCACCTGTACAAAGAACTGAATTAGTTAGATATGAGTTGGTTACAAATGTAACATTATTTGGATAATCTACTAATACACTAGCACCTCCAACTGCATCATAGCATTCGGCTCTTCCAATAACAGTGCAAGTAATTGATGTGTAGCTGTCCATTCTGAGGGTGTTATCATAAACATCACATAATATTTCATCATCATTGTTATAGCTGCTGCTGCTAGTGTCATTAGAATAGCTACTGCAATTATTACCATAGTATGGGTAATAACAAACACATGTTCCATTTTCACAATATCCATTATAGTTACAGTCATTTTCACATAAATTGGGGTCATAGTAAAATCCATCATATTCATAATACATTTGATATCCACTTTTGTAGACATATACATCTTCATACCCAAATCCACCATAAACATATCCCTGAGCAAAATATTGATCCATATAAGTAATATTAACCAAATTACTACCAATGTAAAAATAATTGGACCATATATCATACCCAAAATCACCCCAAAAATATACAGTACCTATTTTTTAAAATTACAAAAAAAAAAAATTAATATTATATCAATAAACCAATTGTGTTAATTTTACATACCACCAGATGTTGGTAATGATCTAGAATGATCACTAATATAAAAAGCTTTTGAACCTAATATACAACAAATAAATAATAATAACAATGTGATAATTTTTTGCATTTTATTGTTATATTAACTTTTAAATATTAAACAAAAATAAAAAAATTTTGTTTATTTATGTATTATTATTTAAATTAACCTTTTTTTAAAAAAAAATTTAATTAAACAGCACAATAATTTGTAATTTACCTTTTTTTATTTAAAGAGCCAACTTGAATTTTTAGTATCTGTAATAATTATTGAGATGATGACCTCCATCTGATCACACTGATGATGACCTCATTTTATTATAATAAAAAAGTTCACCCACTTGAAATCAGTTATTTTTATAGGAAAAAATTTAGTGCCACCTTGCACAACACATTAAATGAGTGGGTGCAAAATTATTTTATAAAAAAAATTTAAAAACCCAAAAATAGATTTGGTTTTTTATTTTTTAGAAAATAATATTATTTGTTTATTTGTTTTTTTCTATTTATTTTATTTATTTTTTAATGTATAGTTGAATAATTTTTTATTTATTAAATGATCTTTTATTGAAATTAAACTATGTTCTGTAAAGATATCTTTGTTTAAAATGTTGAAATTGTTTCATTTATTAGTTTGAAAGTATCTTCAAATCATTCGAACTAAACCCTATTTAATACTGCAACCCTAAATTTAAAATTGTTTTTTTTTCAAAGCCATTTTGCTACACTTTGTTTTCATTAATACCCCAATGATAATGCAGCTATATTTTTTTTGAAAATTAATAATTAATATAATTTCAAAAAATAAAATTTAAATATTAAGTATAAAAAGGTTAGTATTACTCCAAAAAAAAAAAAGTAAAAAGTTTAATAAAAAAATGAAATAGCATATGCAATTATAAACTTAAAAAAATTATTTATTTCATTCAGTATAATTTCAAAAAAATATTATTAAAAAAATTATTAATTTTCAAAAAAAAAAAAAATAAAAAAAAAAAAACATGCAGAACAAAAAAAATTAAAATAAAATTTTTAATATGAAAAAAATAAACATTTCCCATATAAAAATTTCAAAATTGCATTTTTGAACCAACCGCACAATAGTTTTTTTAAAACAAAATTTTCTGTTTAAATTTTTTTTTTTTTTTTTTTATTTTAAAAAATATTTTTTCCCACCATATTTTTTTCCGTGTTTCTCGAAAAATCGAAAAATTATTTTTTCGTTTCCACCAAAAACCCAAACGAATATTTCCAAATAATATAAAATAATATAAAATAATATAAAAAATAAAATAATATAAGATAATAATAAAAAGTAAAATAATAAATATAATGATTTTCAAATTATTTATTTTATTTTTAACTTTTTTATTTAATATAAATACAGTTTTTTCTGATGATAAATTATGTTTAGAAAAATTGCTATTTAAATTGTTCAGTTTAAATACTGTCGAATTATGTTCTTCAGATTTTATTACAGGAGAAAACTACTCATATAAGGGAACTTGTAATATAAAAGATGCAACTCGTTTAACTAAATTGTGATTAATCTTTTTTTTTTTTATAAAATTCAAATTAATAAAGAAATATTTTCTAATAATTTTTTTTATAATTTAGATCTATTTCCTCCAAAGCTAATTTAGATTTGGCAATAGAATACAACGATTTAAATTGTTTTTCAGATCCATTAAATGAAATGTATGGTCATCTTCATATCTAAAAATATTAAAATTTCAATTCAATACTAACAAACTTTTTTTAAAGAGTTTTTCAAGGATTAAAATACAAACAAGATGCCTTTGGAGTCTCGGGTAATAAAAATGTAGCAGAAAGTTTATTTTTATACGATTCTTTTTTTGTAGATTACAGATTTATTTCAAAAGAAAAAGAATTGGTTGAAGGTGTAAATAATGTAACAATAACACTTATTAAGGAATCAATATTTGAATTAAATTTTAATTCCATTAAAAAAATTACAAATTTGTAACTATTTTTTTAAAAATTAAATTCTATAAAAAGATTAAATACTAACTATTTCCTTTTTAATAGAGACATAAAATATGATGTATCATCAGTGAATGCTCCAGCATTTCCTAATGATCTTCAAGATACCGATATTACCAATTTTAAAAGCATGTAAGTACTCAATATAATTCCATATTAAAATGTTATTTTATTAATAAATAATTGTTATATTTATTGAATTTTATTATTATTTAGTGTTTTACTCTCGGCAACTGTACCATCTTTTAAAAATATAAAAGCCGAGATAGTAACTTTAATATTATCATCAAAATTGGAAAACTTTTTGTTCAATAACTTGGCCACTCTAAGCAATATCAGGACATTTAAATTGGAATATGATAAAGAGTTAGAATACCCATTATTATATCTAAGCTCATCAAGTAATAATGTTCAATATTTATATTTAAATTTTAAAATTAAACCTCCAACAAATAAGTTATTCCTCCAACCATTATTAAAAGGTGTCTTTTTTGAAAGAGATAGCGAAGGCTGTAATCTTAATGGTGTGTATCCTTTTTACCCGTTGGTATCATTAGAAATCTTTAGTTGTAAAAATTTAGGATTGGAGGTTTTCCCAGAATTCTCAAGCAATATTAAAACAATGTAAGAAATCTATTATTTTTTTTACCACTATAATATCAATAAAACCATTAATTATTAATTATTAATCATAATTCTTTGTTTATTAGATCAATAACCAATAATCTTTTTAATAAATCTGGCCCAGTTTCTTTACCCGACTTATCGAATTATAAAAATCTTATAAATGTAAATTTAAATGATTGTGGCTTTTCACAGTCAATTCCAGAACACTATTGCAATTTTGATTGCCAATTAGCGAATAATAATCTAGATTCTTCTCTGCCAAAATGTAAAATATGTTATATAAATAATTTCCTTCAAAATTTTGCCAACAATCCCTTATTGGATTTTGGTAGTTGCAGTATGTATAAATGATTTATTTAAAAAATAAAAGTCAAAAAAATACTAATATTTTTTTTTTTTTAAAATATTTTAGATCCAGGTTCAATTATACCAAATTTAGAATATGATAGTAATAATACACCACCATTAACATTATATGGTCAAAATTTGGGTTTATCCCAAATAGGATATATATATGCATCATCAATATTATCACTCAATAATATTTCACCACAAACTTTATTCAAAGGAGATTGGAACATAGCTAAACTAACAACCTCACCAGACTTTGTATTTCCTATATAACCCTGTGAATTTTTATTTTCTAAAATTAAACCAGACATTTTACAAGTTATTATATCAAATTCTATAAATGTTATTTTGCATTCGGTATCTAATATTTTTATTTCGAAATCTGATTGATTATATGAAAAGTTTGAACCATTAAAAGTAAATTGATTGGTTGATTTAGTGATACTATAAATAGAGGGTTTTAAATTTTTTGTTGCTAGTGTGAACATTTTATAAGGTGATCCTATTGGAATTTGAAGTGTATCTGGAATTGGACATTTTACTGTTAACACCGCAATTGATCCTATTGGAATTTGAAGTGTATCTGGAATTGTACATTTTACTGTTAACACCGCAATTGATCAGGTCAATATTTGTGATGCTAACAATGTCTGTACTGAACAAAAGTCTTGTAGTAATAATTGTAATAACCATGGAACTTGCTATAATGGTGTATGCAACTGCAATAACAACTGGGCCGGTATTGACTGTAGTTTAAAAACATGCAACTCAACATGTAATGAAAGTGCTGGATGGGGTTACTGTAACACCAAGACAGGGGAATGTGTTTGTGATCGATTCTATACTGGTGATTCATGTGGTATTCCAAGTCATTTCTTATCATCTGCTTCATCTACATCAACTAAAGGAGGTGTTGTTAATCTTTATGGTTGGTTTGGCTCTGTGAATAAAAACCCTTCAGTTTCAATTGGTGGATTGGAATGTAATCTCCATGTTATTAATAGTTCTTTTGTCAACTGTACTATTGGTCCAGGATCTGGTACCAAGTCAATAACAGTCATTCAAAATGGATTATCATGGACAGGTGATAAAATGTTCTATTATACCCCTGAAACCTATAGCTGTCCAAAAGATTGCTCTTTGAACGGTGTTGTAAATGGCTATTGTAATACAACAACAGGTCAATGCAAATGCTATATCGGGTGGGGTGGTTTTGATTGTAACTCAAAAGCACCAACAGGTGGTGGTAGTGGTACAGGCGCAGGTAGTACAGGCGCAACTACAGGCACACCTTCCCCTACAAAAGCTCCAGATATCGAAGTCCCAGGTTCAAATACAACAGTCGATGAAGGATCAGGTTCCACCACTATCAATAATCAACAAACCACTTATGAAATTTCAATTTTATCATTAGTAGAATTAGATGTTACTGATGATATAGTCTATACCCATAATTTAACAAATAAGTGGAGAGTTTCAAATGAAACCAACAACAGTAACATTCACATATTCAAACAAAATATCACCGAATCATGCTACATTACATATACCATCGAGGATATTAAAGAAGCCAAAGACTATGAATTTGCAGGTTTAGCATTAACTTTAGAAAAAGACTCAATTAAAATAACTATAAATATTGTTAGCTATCCATTTATAAACTCCCTAAATAAACTTCAACTTAGATTAGAATCATTAGTAGGTGATAGTGGTACAGATACAGACAACAAGTGCAACGATAAAGAAACTTCTATTGACAAAGATCTTTTAGATAGCAATCAATTATTAAACTATGTATCTATTTCAAGAAATGAAAAAGTATTAAATGGTAGATTTATAAACAGGGTATTAAGCGACTATAGATACTCGTTTATAACAACTTCATTAATAGCAAACTCTACTTTAACCAACAATAAACAGTCATTTATCATTGCATTAAATTTACCACACTTTAAAGAGTCATTGACAATCGATCCAGATTTTTCCGTATTGGTATCACCATCATTCAAAAAATGCTCCTCTTCAGAACGAGCTAGTTGGGTGTTACCAGTTGCAATTGTTGTACCCTGTGTAGCTGTAGTAATTCTAATTGTAGTTGGTGCTTTCGTTATCAGAAATAATCGTTCCACTGCTTTGATGATCAAAAACAAAATCAATTTAAAAAGAATGACAAAACAAAAAAGAGATGAACTATTTATGCCTTCAAGAGGTTAAAATTTAAATAAAAAAAAAAAGCTTTATATATTAAATTATTTTTTAATTGTTTATTAATTATTATTTATTATTTTTATTTTTATTTCTTTTTCTTTGGGGGAGCGCTTGGTTGTTTTGAAGCGTGAATAATTCTTTCTAATTGTTGTGGATCAGCGATATTAGAAGTCTTTAAGTTTGCGTTGTAATAGGTTGAATCACCTGGTACTTTAAAGAAGAAGGATTGATCTTGATTAACAATTGGTGACTTTATATTATCATTTGATTTTGAAGAGATGATACTATCGAGTGTGAAAGTTCTTTTTCTTGTTGGAAAACCATTTAAGCCATATGAAGTAACTTGAACTACACGACCCTTATTAAATGTATGGATTGATGCAATATCCTTTTTTCCCATTTGATGGAAGAATGCAAATGTTATAAGTGTTAAACCTACAGCACCTGCTAATATCCATTTGCTTCTATTATCTTCACTTTCTAAATAATACTCTGATAATACAAATATACATAAACATAATTGAACACCACTGACAATAAATAAAAGTTTGTGTATGTATGGTCTGCTATTTTCAAAAATTAAATGTGCTCCATTATCTTTACTTTGATTATTATTATTTGTATTATTATTATTATTATTATTATTGTTATTATTGCTATTTGTTGAATATCTTCTATAGTGGTTATTTGTGTTAAAATTATTATTGGTATTATTTAAAATTGTTTTCAAACTATTTGAAATCTCATTTTTTTTATTATTATTTATATTTAATATATATAAGGATGATTGTTTTGATGAGGTTGTAAAAAGTTTATTGCTATTGGTAGTATTTAAAATAGTATTGAATTTAATATTGTTTGTTTTTAAACTATTTGATACAGCCTTACCAATAAATGATGACAATGATTTTGATTGAAACATTTTAAAAACAAATAATACAATGAAAATGAAAAAATGAAAAAAAAAAATGAAAAAAAAAAAATTAATAAAAAATAAAGATTTTTTTTTTTTTTTCGCATAAAAAAATTATTATGCAAAAACGAAAAACCATTTAATTTTGTCTAAATATACCATATATAATCTATATATACATGATCTTTTTATTTATAGATAATTATTTAAAAATTTTTATAAACAACAACCATAGAAACATGACTGAAAAGATGTTATAATATATTTAAAAAAATACTTGATTGAATGCCAAGCTGAATAAAAAAAGAACATTCTAAAAATAAAAGAAAAAAAAATTAATACTTAATTAATATAAATCATTGGACTGACTATAATTAGTTTCATATTACTTTTTCTATAATTAGGGTTATAGGATAATATTTTTAATTATTATAAATGTAAAAAAAAAAAAAATTATACAAATAAAGTTAAAATAATTAAAAATAAAAATAAAATAAAATCCATATTAAGAAATGTTTAGATAACGAAAATAAGAAAAAAAAAAACATTGTGTTTTTAGATTTATTTATTTTATATGATCTATAAACACCCAGTATAGATATGTTGTTGTTATCGTTGCGCCTGCTGTAAGTTTATTATTTATTATTTATTATTTATTATTATATTTATTATTGAATTATTTTGGAATTCCCCTATTTGTAGCAATTCTTTGTCTACCACCCTTAGATGATGGTTGAAAATCAACAGTCTTTTGTTTTTTAGTAGCCTTTTCTTCTTCTGAAGGTTCTGAATCAACTTTTTCTTCTTCTGATGGCTCTGAATCAACTTTTTCGTCATCTGATGATTCTGAATCAACTTTTTTCTTTCTACCTCTTTTGTTGCTTTGAGTTTTTTTTGGTGTTTCATTTTTAGATGCTGGTTTTCTTCCTTTTGCTGTTGCTTTAGTTGGTGTTTTGGTTACTTTTTTTGTTGTTGATTTTTTTTTTGTCTTTGGTTTTTCTTCAGGTTCGGAATATTCTTCATCATCGTAGTACTCATCCTTGTCTCCATCTTCTTTTTTTGATTTGGGGGGTGACATATCAAATACTTTGTAAAGATTTTCAAACTGTTTATTAAATGATTTTATTAATGACTTTGGGGAAACTAGTTCCTCTGGAATCCAATATTTATCGATGCTGTTGTTTTTAAATGTAACTGAATAATATAAAACATCTCCAATTGTTTTTTTATCGACAATATCTGTAATTTCTGGTAATGGATCTGGTAGTGGTAATTGATTAATTGGATTTAAAGATGACTGTGTTGATAATTTCTTTTCAATGCTACTATTCTTTAAATCTACAATATCATATTTCTTAACTGGTAAACTTTTAGATTTAGATTTTGATTGAGTTGATGATTGTGAAGATTTTTCCTTTTCATCTTCTTTTTCTTTTTCTTCATCTTCATTTAATTTTTCTTTTTCCTCTTTTTCTTCTTTTTCTTCTTTTTTTTCATCCGCAATTTCTTTATCTTTCTCTTTCTCTTCGTCCATTTCTTCTTTACTTTTATCTTCCTCTTCCTTATCTTCTCTATCTTCTTTATTTTCTTTATTTTCTTTATCTTCTTTTTCTTCTTTAGAATCAATTTCTTCATCATGTGGTTTTTCATTTTCTTTATGTTCATCCTTCATTTCCTCATCTTTTTTTAATATTGTTGTTGCTGTTGTTGTTGTTGTTTTAATAATCTCATTACTGGGCATTATAGTTTGGCTATCATCTTCATCGATGTTATCGTTATTTGCTTTGATATCACTTATTGTTCTTGATATTATTTGATCAGTTGGTGTAACTTGAATTGGTTCTTCAGATGATGGAACCTCCATTGATGAGAGTATATTCTTTGATACATCTATACTTGAATCGAGAATGCTCTGTTCACTCTCATCGACTTTACTATTATTTAAACTATCGTCAATACTGGCATTTACTGACATTATTACTTTTATTTTAATATCTAATAACTGTTAAAGATATATTAATTTAAAATTTTTTAAATAAAAAAAAATAAATAAAAAAAAACTAATGAGCGCAAAATTTTAAAAATAAAAAAAAAAATAAAAAAATAAATTAAAAAAATAAAATAAAAAAATACAAATATACAATGAATATAACTATATATAGTTATAGCTTTTTTTAATTGATTTATTTTTTTTTATTTTTTTTTTTATTGATTTTTATTTTAATAATGAGAAAACTATATTATTTGAATATAAATAAAATTAAACTTGTTTGATTGGGAGTTTTGAAACTGGTTGTTTTTCTGGGATCTTCTTTAAAGCATCGTGAATATAAGGAAGAACACCACCACCAGCAATTGTGGTTGAGACTTTAATTAAATCATCGAGCTCTTCATCTGTTTTAATTGCTAAAAATATATGTCTTGGTGAAATTCTTCTAACATTTGAATCTTTTGATAATGCACTAACTGTTAATTCCAAAACCTCGGATGCCAAATATTCTAAAATTGCTGCTAAATAAACTGCTGAAATTACTGATACCCTTCTAGTTGGTACTTTTTCTCTTAGCATTCTATGAATTCTACCAACTGGAAACTATATAAATAAAATTTAATTTAATTAGTAATCAAATATTTGTTAATGTTTTTATAAAGATAATTACAACTAATCCTGCCCTAACTGATTTTTGAACTGGTGTTTTCTTTTTAGATACTTTTTTTGATTTTATTTCTGACTATATATCATTTTATTTTTGTTTTGTATTTGAAGTTGTATAATATTAAAAAATTAAAAAAAAAAAAATTAGTGGTTTATTTTTCAAAAAATTTTAAATTTTTTTTGTTTTTATATGTTACCATTTTTATTTATTTATTTATTGTTAATTTATTTGTTATAGTTTAATAAAAAAAAAAAAAAAGATTAATTTAATTTTATTTATTTTAATTTATTATGAAAAAAAACAAAACAAAAAAATATAGTTTTTTAATTTATTTATGTATTTATATTTTGCATTAAATAATACAGCTATTTTATCTACAAAAGAAAATTCTATATAGCTATAGGTATATAGTTTATATAACTGTGAATATGTCTGTGTGAATGTGTGTTAAAAAATGAATAAATAAAAAAAAAAAATTTCAAAAAAATTTAAAAATTTGTTTCATTTATTTTTTTGAATTTTTCTAACCGTTAGATACACCAAAGACCATATTAAAAATTAATATGGGCTGCATAATTAATGAACTAAAAATTTCAAAATAGATATTTTTTTTCCAAAGAGTATTTAAATTAAAATAAAAATTTAATTATAATAATTTGAATAAATATATATATTTTTTTATTCTTTTTTTAGGTTTGGGGAAAAATTTATATTTTTTATATACATATATTGCTAATTGAAATGGAAAAAAAAAAAAAAATTATTTTTATAGATGTAAGGAAACAATAAAGAAACCAAAAAGTATGGAGTGAATGTGTTATGGGTGGTGTGGTGTCACCCTCTAATGTAGTATCAATAAGGGTGAGTATCCATATATAATTTGTGAAGGGGGGAATCAAACGTAATTTTAAAAAAAATTT